ACACCCAGTAAAGATGGGTCAAAAAAGAAATGAAATAAAAAATTACTTTTGTATTTAAAAACTTAATTTGTATGTTGAAGGAAGGCCTAATATAAGCAGTGTAAATTTTATCTTTAAGCATGCTTTTTGAGTTATCTTTACCTAGGGCACTAGAGGATCAGCAATATCCTCCAGCATAACCACCAGCTTTTTACCCTCATTTTATTTTGGGCTCTGGCACAGTAGCGCAAGAAACATCTGCCCCTAGCTATGTGTGGAAAGGTATAATGCACAGGGGAGAAGACAGAGGTGGAAAAGAATCAGGTGTTTGAAGCATAGGCCTTCTGCTCCTCCTTGACTTGGATGCGACCACTTCTCCAGATTTGCATTACTGCCACAAAGTGCAGTTAGTGTGTACATGTGAAAATAAATGGTGCAGCGCTTGAAAAAAATAAACTAAAAAAATATTGTGCAAAAAAATCAAACCAAATGATAATACAATCTCTAATGTGACTTGTGAAAGTGATAACAATACAAAAATAAAACCCAGTGACAAACAATAGTGAAAGGGTCACCTTGGTGACCTATAACAGTGACACACACAAATAATGAATCAATATAGAAACGTGATAGTGTCACTTCACTTCTCATAAATCTTCAAAACAAACACTCTATTAGTCCATTAAGAACAATAATAGTAGGTGTATCTCAAAACCATGCAACGTGTACTATGTGATGAATTCGTGCAAGTGTCAGCACACACTTTATCCACTCCAGCTGCAGTACCTCCTCACCTCCTTTATGTGACCACTAGGGGCCAAATAAGCATTCAGGATCACTCTGGATCCTTCACATCACCGGCTAGTAGCTCTCCTCTTTCACTATATCTCCGGAAAGCCTTCAGGATCACCTATGGTCTCCTGTTAATGTTCCTCCTCCAATACCTCCTCCAGGACCCTCTGTATAGGTACTCTGTAGAGTATATTGCTCACAATACCAGTGAGCAATAAAAGAGATCCTCCATAGTGCAGTAATTTGAGCAAGGCAGTCTTTTATTCAAATAAGAAGTACACTCACATTTCAAATGCAGTCCCTTCCTCCTGCTGTGTGTGGGTATACTGCAACCATGCGGTACTTCCTGGGTGTGCTAAAATGGCGTCCTATACCGGAAGTGCGTCACTTACCGGAAACTGCGTATCAGCGTACCTACGCGTTACGTCACGTGGTCTCGTGACTTCCTCAGGGTTGATTGGTTATCAAATTTGGGTGTTAGCTGCTAGTGAACAGGGCTTACTTCCATATCAGCGCAGGAGGATTTCCAGTTAGTTTTTTTACCTTAGTGTGTACAGAAGCCATAGTTTTTATTTATTTTCAGTTCACCGAACACTAATGGGACAAGGCTTCTGCTGCTGCTTCTTATCAAGTCATTTTGGGATTTGATGACCCATATTACTACATCTAGAGATCCTGGACAAAAAGATGGCTTTCATTATCTTGGAAATGCCATTTAAAAGTTTTAAAAGGTTCATAGCTGGATTTTTTCTATACCACACTTTGCAGATCACATGTTTTAAAGAAAGAATTATATTCTAAGTTGCTTAACTGCACATCACATCACTGAAATTATTCTATGAAAAGTGAACAAAATGAGTCAGAAGTTGAAAACTTTCTCCATTTGTCTTATGTACAGCCTCGAGCACCTTCAGCTGCCATATGTTCTCATTATCACCTGTTTAACGAAAAGTCAGTTCAGCCCCAAATATCTGTATTTCTCTCTGCAGCTACACAGAAAATAAGAGAGTTTCTACCACATTGTTTTTCTACATTTAAAAGGGTCAGTTCGCTTATTTTGAGCCTAAGTACTCTAGTGATTTCAATGTTTCTATTGGTGAATTGTCTCCTTCAGAGTACACAGCAATTCTTTTCTAATCGTGAAAACTTACTTTTCCTGTGGAAACAAAAGGATTCTCTCACCACTGTTGCAAAATCTGTAAGGTACCAAAGTTCAAGCAGTATTAAACCCAAAACTAAAATATTAAAATTTCGTAGCTTACCAAATATCAGATGCGGTTGGCTGCATTCGTTTTCTTTTTTAAGCTTTTTCCCTGATTTCACCTGGTGATCCGCACAGTAACGCTCCTCCTGTATTACAGTGCCTACACCAGTGTTTCTCAACTGGAGTCATCAGGAGTGCCACAGATAAAAGATTCTAGCCTAACTAAGGCATTTAAATATTCTTCACTGCTGGCTCAAAACTTTTTTTTTTTTAGCTACGGTGCTGGTTTGATGTGTTTTAAACTTACATGTAATCTCCTCTGAGACTCTGTGCTGTGTGGCTGCCCACCCATGTTTTACCAACTGATTATGTCATTGGTTGTTGAGGAGCACATAAGGAGCCCAACCAGCATCCTTGGTCTCCCCTTCCTTGCTTCCATAGCTGATAGAGGGGTATAGGTCAGCAAGGGGTGGGGGATGTTTCTCCTCTCCGCAGAGTTCCTATGGAATTCTCCACTCCCAACTTCTCTAATAATCTAATCAAAGTATTTGAAAGCAGAGGAACTACTGCAAACAGCATGTAACATTACCATATGTACATAGATGCACAAATAATACAAGCTTTATAGATGAAAAGATTACTGATGCATACAGTACATACAATGTACAAACAGTTATAATCAACAAAATGCCCAACAAGAGTACTGATGAAATTGTGCACATATACCCACAATGTTGCCGCAAAAATCAGTTTCAGGGTCCATGAGGATGATCACAATGTGGCCTCTGTCTTTGTGTTGGAGACCTGAAAACAAGATCAGTGGTGATGGGGAGATACTTCAACTGTTGCCCAACCAGTCCAGAAAGCAGCTTCACACCATCAGAAACTGTGGTGTGGCACTGAGCAGAAGGGACAGGTTTAACAAAAATAACAACATTAAGGTAAAAGACCCTCCATGACCAGCCCCCCCCCCAAATACTTATGTGGCTCTTCTTTTGATCCAGAGCTGTGTCCAAGAGTAGCATTGTTGTTCTCTCTCTCCTCACAGGACACATTGGCAGCATCAGGAGCAATTGGCTCCTGCTGCTATCAATTAAGTCCTGTAAAGAAGGGGTAGGGTTAGCGGGGTGAAGCTGTGATGTGTGTGTTGATGGATGCACACAGCTCTTAGCTCAGGAGTGAGCCTGCATGTGCACCCCCATAGCAAGTGGCATGCTATGATGGCACAAGCAGAAGAAGAGAAGCCCTGAGTGCTAAACTCCAGCTCACACTTTTTTAAGCAGTTATAGCAACAGTATTGTTCCTTTTGGGATAGAAGTTTTACATAAATAAATAACATTGTCAGCAACCCTGGCAGTGTTAAATAGCTTGTTTCAACCCTCTAATGCTATATCTGTAGGGCAGCTTGTTGCGTTGAAAAACAACAGACTTACTGGCAGGATCACCATTTAAAAATAAAAGAAAGAAAGAGCCTAAAAAACAAAAACTAATGCTGCCATCACATCTAAGAATTGGTAAGATACAATATAATACAGTTTTGATTTTGGCTTTAATATCTTTGTCAGAAAGTAAGGTCAACTTATACTAACCTGCAGCAGTTGTGGATTTTATCTACAGCTGCTATAGTGTCATATTATATGATTTGTGATTGACATTGCAAATGTTTAGACAAAACAAAAAACCTCAGACAGAGATCAGGCAAGCATTGCGAAGGAGGGCGGAGATTATTAGTAATGCTGAAAATGAATGTCCCTCCAATGCTAGTGATATACTCTTGACTCTCGCTGATGCCAGAACAATTTCTACTCGCCACAGACTGGCCCCCCTAAATTCTGAAGGACAGTAAATTGGCCCTTTATTTAGCATGTTTGGAGACTCCTGATTTAATACAATGAAGCTGGCTACACTGCAATATCCATTGGAACAATTCTTTATTGGCTACATGGCAGGATACAGCAATAACACACTAACATGTTTTGTGTCAATACTCTATCCTGTCATGTAGCCAGTAAAGAATTGTTGCAATGGATGTTACAGAGTAGCCGGCTTCATTGTATCAGAGGATTATTGCTACAATTCAAAGACATCTGGGCCAGAGCACTGGTTTCCAGTCTTGCAGGTCATTTGTGGCATGTTCTCTGTTTGGTAATAAAACTGCGGCTAAATTGCCTGCTTGTTCTTATGAACTGGCTGGCCTAGAAGGTGGGTAAGCAGCTCATAAATCCTCAGAAACCTGGCAGTCTGGGAGAAGAGTCCAGGGTCCAGCCATCTGGAGGAGACCCCTGTGCTGAAGGCTCTGCCACCTGGGGTGGAAGAAAGAGCAGAGCAAGAGAGACAGAGAGAGGAAGGAAGCTCTCAGCCTCTGTATGTACTAGGCATGGCTGCAGACTTCAAGCCAAGCCAGAAGCAGTCTGTTTAACAGGGGGGCCAGTGTAGCAGTTTTCTGGATTCTAGGAGTATACACCAGCCACCATACCCAAAGCAACAGAGAGGACAGTGTAGTGCAATACAACTTATGCCTGGGACCTAGGGAACAGTTTTAGTGTCGTGCAAGACAGCCAGAAACACCCCAACATCTCTACTTTGGGTCTATAGCAGCCAGGTGCTGTGCAATATAGCCAGGAGCTGACTCTTCACTACTGATTTTTGGAACTTTATCTTTATTTCAGGTGTACCATTACTTCCACTGCTGTGTAGCATAGTTCAGCTGGACTTTAGCAGCCAGAGACTTTAGCTCTACTTGCAGCAATACAAAATCAGAGGTTATTAAGCAGTAATAACTTAACACAGATAAACATGGATAAAAAGGGTAAACAGGTTGCAATGGACCAGTGGGTGACACAATATGGGTGATGGTGATGCCTATAGAGCAGTGATGGCGAACCTTTTTGAGCCCGAGTGCCCAAACTGCAACCCAAAACCAACTTATTTCTTTCAAAGTGCCAACACTGCAATGAAACCTGAATATCGAGCTTTTGGTTTAGAAAAAAACAACTCGTACAGTAGTGCAAACTAATTAACAGTACAGGGATGACCAGAGACTGCGGACACAGTACAGGGATGACCAGAGACTGCGGACAGTACAGGGATGACCAGACTGCGGACACAGTACAGGAGATGGCCAGAGACTGCGGACAGTACAGGGATGACCAGAGACTGCGGACAGTACAGGGATGACCAGAGACTGCGGACACAGTACAGGGATGACCAGAGACTGTGGACACAGTACAGGGATGACCAGAGACTGCGGACACAGTACAGGGATGACCAAAGACTGCGGACACAGTACAGGAGATGACCAGAGACTGCGGACAGTACAGGGATGACCAGAGACTGCGGACACAGTACAGGGATGAACAGAGACTGCGGACACAGTACAGGAGATGACCAGAGACTGCGGACAGCACAGGGATGACCAGAGACTGCGGACACAGTACAGGGATGACCAGAGACTGCGGACAGCACAGGGATGACCAGAGACTGCGGACAGTACAGGAGATGACCAGAGACTGCGGACACAGTACAGGGATGACCAGAGACTGCGGACAGTACAGGGATGACCAGAGACTGCGGACACAGTACAGGAGATGACCAGAGACTGCGGACACAGTACAGGAGATGACCAGAGACTGCGGACACAGTACAGAGATGACTGCTGACCTTTGGGGAGGGAGGGGGAGCGGGTACCTGAATTTGACAGGTACCCGCTCTTACTTCCGCAGAGTTTTTTTTTTTTTATCTTACCTGTTCCTTTATCCAGCCGCGCGCTGTCTTCCCGGCTTCTGTAGTGTGGGCGCTCGTCGGACAGCCGGATGCCCAGTGCGCATGCGCGAGAAGCGCTGCGCTTTGTGATTGGTCCGGCGGCTTCTGGGATCTGTCATGTGTCCCAGGTACCGCCTTACCATTCACAAAGAGCACTGCTTCTTGTGCATGCGCACTTGGGACCCAGCTGTCACGCACACTACAGCCGGGAAGACAGCGCGCCGCTGGATTCTCCTGGCGTGCCCACAGATAAGGCTCGGCGTGCCGGCTGTGGCACGCGTCCCACGGGTTCGTCATCACTGCTATAGAGTATGCATCACTGACTGTAGGAAGGAGGCCTAGCAAAAGCAGTCAAAGTTCCCACAATCACTGGGGCAGTGCTAGATGGGCAATCTGTATAAATAGAGAACAAGCACCCCTTGGAATGGTAAAGGGAAGAGTCAATTCGGGGTTGAGGTTGAGTTCTTCTGCTAGCAAGTTGGGGCCCTTTACACTTGAGTTATTAGAGCAGAGGATAAAGTCAGGTCTGCAGACAGAAAGGATAAAGAAGGTCTTCTTAGCTGAGCTGGATATATTTATATGTATAGATGTCTGCTAGCAGTGTCCTTATACAAACAGACTAAAAAAAACAAACACTGAGCAGCTGCCCTCTCACCAATCCCGATTGGAAGAAGGTCTTTGGTGCTGTAAGGGGAATTGAGCAGGCTTTGGCTTCACAAGAAGATGAGGAAGCGTTGCACAGTAGGCTGCTGATGTGCTGATAGGAACAGGGGGTAGCAATGATGAGAAGCTGTGAGTTCATCTAGTTTCCCGGATTGTTGAGAGCAGAGGGAAGCTCTTGGTGGGACAGTGTGCTACGTTTCTGGACCTCTAATGCTATCACCAATGAGTCTATGATTCCTTTTTGGCAATGTCTCCTCTTTTCCATTTCTTAGTAGCCTGCATCTGACTACATATACAAATACTGAAACTTGTGAATGAAGAGAAAAAAGTCCTTATAAAGTATTAGTGTCCATATGATTGACTGTAGTGTGAAATTTTCTTCTTCAATAATAATCATCAACGAACATGCCGCCACATAATGGAATCATACTCAGCAGATATTATGACCTCTAAGATATGGGAAGGTAAAATAATGCATATGGTGTAATTTAAGCTCCCATCAACTCCCATATATCGTCCAACTGGTAAGGCAGACTACATACAGTACGTCTCAGCCATTTAGGTATTTACATCCCAGGACAGATTAATCCGTCTTAGCTCATAAACTCATAAGACTAGACTAGATACCCCAAAATAAAAAAACAGCTTCCCATAGAGTAGTAATGCTTTATTAAAAGTTATAAATTCCATACAAAAAAAACTCGCATTTTAAAAATGCTTCAATAGCACTAAACTTTAACAGGCATTGTGATATAGTGGCTGAGTGGCCACCAAGTAAACAGCATGTGTAGGGGAAAAAGCTTTAGATCCTCACTGACAACCATCAGAAAATGCCAAAAGACCTCATCAGTCAGCTGTGTGTGCATGATGACATCACCACTACCTGTATGGTAAATGTAAAATGTTGTCCACCAATGAATTCTTCCCACTTACCATCAATGTAAGGAGCATTCTTCCCCCTGACCTTAAGGTAAGAGATTTCTTCCCCCCACTGACCACTAATATAAGGAACATCTTCCTTGTGACCCCAATGTAAGGGCATTCATCCCTCTTGCCACCAATTAAGGAGCAATCTTCCCCCTGACCACCAGTGTAACAAGCAATCTCCTAATGATCATGAATGCGAGGGGGTCCTTCTCCCACTGATCATCAGCGTAAGGAAATCCTTCTCCTACTGATCACCAAGGTAAAGACATCCTTCTCCCACTGGCCACTAGTGTATGGGCCCTTCTCCAACTAACCTCCAATTTAATGGGGATCCTTTTTCCACTGACTGCTAATCTAAGGAGACCTTTTTCCCTAGACCCCGATTTAAGAGAGCATTGCTCTGACAACCATTGTTAAAGGGCACTGACTATCCATGTATGATTGCCTTTCTCCACTTACCACAAATTTGAAAGAACACTTCTATTTTTACAGGCTATGTCCATTTACTGGCCATTATTAATCTTTTTACTTCATTATCATTACTGAAAATTTTTTTGTCATATAGAGCAACCCTGGTTGACAAATACGCTAAGTTCACTACATTCTTAATTCTTTTTATATATTTTTATATCTCAACATACTCTTCATGCTGCTGTACTATGAGCTGTAGATATAGAAATTAATATTAGGGGTTCCCTTAGACGTGGAAGTTATTTCAAGGTTTCCTCCATAGTAAAAAGGTTAGGAAAGGCTGCACTAGGGGGTCTGTTAATAAGGCTAGGTTCACATCTGTGTGGGTGGTGCCCCTGTGGATCCACATGAAAATCCGTGCAGCTGCACCACCCGCACAGAGAAATGCGGACCCGCGGGCGGGTGCCATTAGTTCTAAAAGAAATTCTGAAGGACCCTCTGCACACTGGTATATACCCTTTCAAGCAGACTATGCAATAAATAGGGATATTTAGTTCACACATATTGCAATACATGCTTAAGCTGGCCAACTGCGTCAAAGTAATCCCTCTATGGCCAGTCCTACTCTGCCCTGCCTACGCAAATGCTACTGTGGACACAATGCTAACATAGGGGAAAAGACACAATGGGGAGAGCTACAAGGTTCAGGTCTGGCTACTGACCCAACAATACAACAAACAAAAGATCCCTGTGCTCAAATCCCAACAGCTAGTGCAAGCATTTATCCATCAGGTGCTAAAGGGGTGTAACCACATATTAACACTAGAAATTAGTTCTAATGGCACGCTGTCCGCACTGGAAAACACAATCATACTGGGAAATGAGGTTCCTGCACGGGCTGCGTTTTCCGAAGAAGTGCAGGGACTTCATCCCTGCGTGTCACCGGCACAGGAGTCCATTGAAATGAATGGGTTCTCGTGCCCATGCAAAACGCGGCCCGCGCGGCCGCATATATGTGAACCGGGGGTTAATGTTTTCACCTAAGATTCACACAATATTCACACATTTTTTTCAGTTTGATTTGGCTGGCAAAATGTGTGAATTCATGGTAAAAGTTGAGTGAATTTTGAGTGAAAACATTTTTATAGAGACTCCTAAATGTATTTTTGATGGTAAGTCATGGATTTGACCAGAAACAAGGGTTCACAAAATGATTCTTACATAACAGTCAAGTGACAAATAGCCTGAAATTCTGAAATGACATTACTTTATTGAGAGATACTAAAGAGAAATAATATACAAATATGTTTAGAATTTTAATTTGTAAAACATGCTTTGTGCTATTGCCAATATACGCCTTACCAGGGTATTGCCAACATACAACTTACCTGGCATTGACCTTTAAACAAGTAATGAAAGAGTATAAAGCCTAGCTTCGAACATACGCTGTTTACAAGTAGATAAACAGATGATTGTCTGATGTGAATATAACACTGATATTTACCACAAGCAATATTTTTTAGGAGAAATACCAGTAACAATACCATTGCTTATAAGATATTGCTTTATCTTTTTTAGAGTGGTACAATATTTCCAAGCTAACTTTCATGCGCGGGTCACAAGGTCTGTGCGCTACATCGAGTTCAATGTCCCATTATGTGAAATTGGATGGCAAGCATTCAGTCACACAACCATTCAGACAATTTCATCCTCCTAAATATGCCACAGGCTAACCAAAAACTGAAAGCCAGGCAAATTAGATTCACAACAATGATTTCAATGTATTCATTTTCCATTACGTTATACACAATTTACTTTCACAAAACAGTTCCTGCTCATGGAAAGGCTTGGTGAAATAATCCACTCAAAGCTATTTCAGGTAGATGCTGAAGAGTTAACTGCTGTTATAATAGTAAGAAAAAGTAGCTCTGCTAAAGCCAGTGAGGTTAACCACTATTTTTATGGGTCAGTCATGTGTTGTAGACTTGTAGCTGATCCGTGTTTGTATTGTTCATTATTGCAAGGCCTCCCATAGTACCACTTACCCAATGTTCTGCCTTAAAATAAAGCTTTTTGAGAGGATTCAATTAAACAATTAAAGTGTATCTAAACCCAAAAATAAAAATGTAATATCTTGCAGCTCATCGGTCCTTAAATGTCTGCATTAGTTTTAATTTTGAGGTTTTTTTTCTATTTTCTAGTTTTCTAGTCTTCCTGCGATTAACACCTTTCTTGTTTCTGGGTGAATATACTCAGCTCTACTCTACACAGGCTGGATTTTCAACATAGACATGTTTGTCTCTATTTATCTGAGTTACCTTGTGGATGTGGATATTAGTAGTTTAGAGAAGAAAGTCACCATTGTATGTTTTTGTTTTCAGTGCAGCGTGCAGGAAGTGATTAGGGCACTGTATTTCTGGCAAGATTAACAGGTAACTTTTTAATGCGCTGTAAAAACTGTGGTCACTATATCTGTTTTGTATAATAATACCTACAATACTTTAAATATTCTAGCTAAAAATTAATACTAATGGAGCCACTACATCTAAGGACTGGTAAGCTGCAATATATTACATTTTTGTTCTTGGGTTGTTACTCTTTAACCACTTGTTGCCCAACAATTTACTTGTAGGGATGCAGCTGCAGCCATTACCCCACTATCTTTTTTTCAGCTGGTGATGATAGATGGAATAAAAATGATCTGAGTGACTAATTAGCAGCTGGATTGCTTTTACATTCGGTACCTTCCACCGCCAGCCATTGGCTGACCATAGAGAGGACAGAGGACCGGAACATCCCCGATCATCTCTCTGATCTATGAAACTGGAAGCAACTAGTATTTTGTCACTTCTGGTTTCAGTCTAATGTGAACAGA